AGAGGAGAGTCAATAAAACCTAAAGGGTGAGGGACGGACATCTGGAATGGGTCTTACCTAGAGGGAGGCATGGAGGGAAAGATGGAATGAAGGTCACCTAAAACAGAACCGACTGTAAGAACCTCAGGATACTTTAGTGCAAATTAAAAAAACAAAAGTCTCATTCTTTTGGGTTGAAGCAGTCCCACATGGTGACACAAACTTTGGTGAGTAGAGCCTAGGCTGCTTTTAGTCTAATTAATCTCCCTAGCTGGGTGCTTTGATCTGGAGTCATCTGCCTATTTACTACTTATCCTTGGGTTTGTCAAAGAAAATCCATTGTTTTAGTGGACTCTGCCTTGCTGCAGAGAGAATGAAGCCTCTGATTAAATCATGCCATTCTGGTACAGAGCCGAGACCAGAAATGTGGGAAGAACTTTTATTTCAAATCAGCATGAGGGTGAAACTTAGTGGTCACAGAGCATAAGTAGCTTGACCAATGTGAAAGAATGTGATGATGTATAGTTACTTAGTTTCTTTAGAGTAAATGGCAGTTGTTATTTTATGGCCATCTGTCTTTCCCCTTTAGACTTCTCAAACTGCAGAGCAGGGGTCAGGCTTTGGTCTAAAACTATCAGGGGATATTCTTATCCAATTCAGTGTGGTGGTTTGTGGATAGGTAGGAAACCCAAAACAGAAGCAGTGAAACATGATGAGACAGGAAAAGGAACAGATATAGGGTTTTACACTATCCCAGTGATCTTACCTACTACCTCCCATAAGAGAAACAGAAATGGGCCCTGTGGTTTTGTGAGAGCTTGGATACAGTTCTGTTTGAAACCAGTACTACTGTTAGTGTTTTGTTTTTGTTTTTGTTTTTTGATGTGAGCTAGTAAATACCCATTTTGCCTGAGCCACTTTGGATGTGAGCTAGTAAATACCTATTTTGCCTAAGCCACTTTGAATTGGGTTTTCTATTTTGACAAAAGAAACATTCTTTCTTCATATACTTCCTGAATCTTGCTTTCCTTAATTGTAGAGTTTGCTACCACTATGTAGGGTTTGAGTGACAATATGAAGAACAAGACACAGACTAGATGTCCAATAAGTAGTACTTAGTAATATATGAAAGAAAAAGCAATGGAGGCAAAGTAAGGTATGGGGTTCCTAGATGCCCCTCTGGCATCCAAGGAAGGCCAGTGGGCTGAGTTCAGTGCTCAAATGAAGGCTGATGCCTGACTTGCACAGATCAGAGTTACCCAGCTCTAAAGGCACGTTAGCTCTTTGAGTTGCTTAGACCCTGTGGCTTTTCTCCAGGGAATGTTCCCACCCAGTGTGTTATTAGTCATGTAGGAAGAAAAGAAAAGCTGTTAGGACAGAGTGGAGGCTTATTATGCCTTTGTCCTTGACAGTTATTTCTTTTTTTAAATTTTTTTATTGCAGCCTTTCATTTTAGGCATATGGAGGGTACATGTAAAAGAATCAACACAAAATGACTAGATTTTCATCATTGGGATAATCCTCTCTCCATTGCCTTGGAAGAGTAGGGATTTAAATCTATAATTTTTTAAATTTAATAGTTGGATTTCCAATACAAAGGAGAAAATTTATACCTGTGTAGACTTACCAAGCATCCTAATGTTCTCATTCTCCTTTGCCAAAAGCTTTAAAAAGAATCTTTGGTAGAAAATTTGTTTCGAATGTCAAAATAAGGAAAGGAATGGAGATGAAGGCTGCTACCGTGTCCCTGCAGTATCTTGAGTCCTAATAGCAAAAGAGAATAAAAAGTGGCATTTAATAGCCATTTTATTTTATCAAGTATTTAATACCTGTTATTAAAGTTCCTGCCTAGTCTAATTGGATATTTTGAGACTAGAACACCTATAGCCACTTTAGCAGCGTACATGCAAGAACTTGGGCAAAGTAAGTAATAGCATCAAAAGCTAGTGAAAAGTGAATTGAAAGAGTACCCATCCTCAGCAGGGTGCATCTTTCATCCTCTTTCCATTGGTGCTGCAGCCACAGAGACTTCTTTCACTTTTACTGTTCTGTCTGAATATTTGCTATCCCTCTCCATCTCATTAATTCCTTTAGCTCAATAAATGGAATCACACAGTACATATAAAACCTGTACATCATTCAAATTCCCTCAAGGAAGTCTTTACTGATTCCTTTAGCCACCACAGGTTAGGTCCTTCCTGCCCTAAAGCCTGGATGTGCTTCCTTCATAATTTTAATACCAGTGATTATGTGTTTGTGTCTATCTTTTCCACTAGTTTATAATATTCACAAGCATGGGGACTTTATTTTGTTTATAAGATCATATCCTCATCAAGAACACAAGACCCAGTACATAGTATATATTTATTCAATATTTGTTAAATGAATAGTAAATGTAAAGGCAAATTAATTCACTTTGTAGAAAACTTTTGTGTTGGTATCAGTGTAAGGATTATATCCTACAGCAAACAATTAAAAATCTAATGAACAATGGCTTAAACAAGTAGGTTTTTGATTCCTATAGTTTATGGAAACTTCAGACATGTAAAATATTTGAAATTTATAGTAAATTCTAAATGCTGATTATACCATTTTTCTATTGTACCCATATTTTACTACAATTGCTTGATCATTTACCCACATATCTACCTATCAATTATTCATCTTATTTTTAATGCATTTCAACATAAGTTGTGCATCAGCACATTTCACTTTAAGGTAAAAGTATATATGAAGTAATTAAATACTTCAGCATACACATCACCACTTAATGTTCAATATTTGCTTAAGGTTCTTATTTGAGGTAAAGTTTAGCTCAGTAAAGTCTTAGGTGTACCATTTTGTAGGTACTAACAAATGCAAACACTTCTGTAACACAATTGCTATTAAGATACAGATTGTTACCATCAGTCTAGAAAGTTCCCTCATACCTCACTCACCCTAGCAAACAATGCTTTGATTGTTTTTCTACCATAGAATAGTTTTCCACATAAATGGAATCACATAGTACACATAAAACCTTTACTACACAGATTTTTTTTTTTTTTGATACTGGGGATTGAACCCAGGAGTGCTTTTAACACTGAGCTACATCTCCTGCACATTTTTTATTTTGACATAGGGTCTCATTGAGTTGCTCAGGCCCTTGCTGAGTTGCTGAGGCTAGCCTTGAATTGGCTGTTCTTTTTTTGCCTCAGCCTCCTGAGTTGCTGGGATTACAGTTGTGTGCCATCGTGCCTGGCTACTACCATTTTGATGTTCATCCAATTTGTTAGTATATCAAAAATTTGCTCCTTCTTAAAGCTGGTTAGTATTCCATGAATACCACAATTTGTCTGCTTACCTGCTTGATGGATAGTCTTTGGTTCCCCCTTCCCCATTCTGTATGTTTTATTAATAAAGCTGTTATGAATATTCTTGCATAAGTCTTTTTTTGTGAAAATGTTTTCATTTCTCTTAAATACTTAGGAGTGGGAATACTGGGTCACAGACTATGTGTGTATTTGGTTTAACTATTACATAGACCCCATAGTGTTAAAGACCTCTTCTTTAAAACCCACTCCAGCCAAGTTGCTTTTCTAGGAAATTTACAGAAAGAAACACATTCAGATGAGATTTTCAGAAAACTCTCTTCAGGGCCTAGTTTTCTGATTTATTCCCTACACCATTCTCATCAGAGGAAAACTGAAATGCTACCCTTCCTTTCATAGTGATTTTAGCCATCCAAGAAATGGCCCTTGCAGCCCTACCCCCATCCCACTTTTGCTAATATTATGACCTTCATATTTTTTCAGTCCTGTCCCTATTCTTCCCTACTGTCCTTGCCTCAGGTTTGATACCTGATAGTCATTCTCAACTTCAAACCTAATTCTGTCTTACCTTGTTGTCCCAATGCTCTAAGAATAAAACCCAAATTCCCTTAGAGGTGGATATAACCTACCTCTCCAGCCTTGACTCTGCCCTGCCCTAGGTATACCTACATCACAGAACTACTGACTCCCTTGCCTTTGCTCATACTGTCCCAGTCTGAATAAAGAAATCTGTCTCCTACTATTGTCCTGCAGTTTCTTAATGCATCTACAAGAATAAATATCACATTTTTACCTCAGAGTTACATTTTTTTATACCTTTAAAAAAATTTTTATTTTTACATGGTGCTGAGGTTGGAACCTAGGGCCTCGCACATGCTAGACGAGACACTATCGCTGAGCCACAATCCCAGCCCCTCCCCAGAGTTACATTTTAAACAGTGTGTGTGTGTTTTAATAGTGYTTTGGTGATCTTCATATAGATCTCTTCTTAAGAGCTGTAATGATATTCTTTTTATATGTCTACTCTTTAACTGCCTCATGTAACTTATTGGATACTCAGGATATTCCCAAAAGTTTGTTCTAACCAGGAGTGCTATAGTGCAGTAATCTTTGCACAAATAAATGTGAGCTCAGGAGAATATTTATTCAGTTCCTTAAGGTGGGTTGCTAGGTCAAAGTCTAACTGGCTTTTAATAGTCAACCTATTTACTCTTCCCAATAATATCTCAACTTTGCAGTGTTCTCATGTTAGACCATTTGCACCACTAGACTGCATGTTCTTTTGAGAGCAAACATTTTCACATTTGCCTGGTCGAACTGGCCCTCAAAATATTTAAATTAACAAATTTTATACTGTGTAGTGCCAAGCTCAGTGCTTGGCATGGAGCACACTTATAATTCCTCACCGATTCGACTTGCTAACTGAAGTGTATTAATCCCGGGACTTGTGCTAAGCTAAGCCCCTCACGGTCCGCAGACCCTTTCACTCCAGAATTCTACTACTAGGGAGGGGGCGTGCCCAGCACCTACCCGGGCATTTATTGGTTGAGTTCGACGCCCGTTACCCTGAGCCACGCCCCCCACAGTCAGGCCTGGAAGAGACTTGGCCATTGCCACGCCAGACTGTCCAGGCAGTCTCCCCGWGAGACTCGAGGCGAGCTCCAGGCCGGGCAAAGGGCAGGGCACAAGCTGACCCACCGTGGTGGGGAGAGGGAGCCGCAGTCCCGAGGAGCGGGCACCGGGGACCCGCTGTCCGCCGCCGGCCAACGCCGCGCCCCGCCCCTCAGCACGCAGRCCCAGCGCGAGCTCGCGCACGTGCGCGCGCGCCGCCAGATCTTTGGTCAGACCTGCGGGAGTGGGGACGGGGCGGGCGGAGGCCGGGCTGCTGAGGTACTTAGGGGAGGAGCCCGAGCCGTCGTTGCCGAAGGAGAGGAGCATGTCTGCAACTCGAGCCAAGAAAGTGAAGATGGCCACCAAATCATGCCCCGAGTGCGACCAACAGGTGGGCGCCGGGGGCCGAGCGCACGATCGGTCGGGGCGGGGGCGCGCAGTCGGCGGCCGTTGCTTGGCGGCCGTTGGCTAAGCAAAGGCCGCCTTGCCTGGGTCCTGGCGGTCGAGCGGGTGGGCCGGCCCGATTCTTGGTGGCAGCGGCCGGATCCCGGGACCTGTCGGGCGGAGCCAAGGGGTTGCCGGGGAAACGCCCGGGGCCGGTGACCGGCGGGTTTCCGCCTGGCGGTGGTCAGACTAGAGGCCCCCGAGTGGTCTGACCCAGCTGCGCGGGAGGGGGCGTGGGTTTGTGTCGGGACCCTACGGAGTCGCCTTGCGGGCCACGGGTGACAGCGCTGGGACCTTGGGGGCCGCGGCCCCAGTGGAGGAACACGGCCCCTTCTAGTTTCCTTGGGCTGGCGGGAGTGCCCGGTGTGCCCGACTCCGAGTGAGTCCAGGCCCCTGGCTCCGAAGGCTCCGTCCTGCCACACAGGGTTGCTTTGTTCCCATTTCAGTTGTGTGTGGTGATCTCCCAAAATTGCCCAGACAGTGTCTTGGGCGGACGCTTTAACATGACAAAAGGGGCCGCGATGTAATATTAAGTTTTTGCGAATTTGGAATTTTTTTTCTTCTAGATCTGTTTATTATATTTTTAGTGTTGTGTAATCTCAGATTCTTTCATTACATTGTTTTTTTATGGAACATGATTGAACAACGTCCACATTGAAGCCCTTCCCTCCTGGAAGCTCCTCATCCCACCCATCGCAATAATCACTTATAAATTTGACGTTTCTGTTTCCAGATCTTTTAAAACATTTTTCATGTGGTTTCATTAATTTGAAATGATTCTTGTCTGCACCAAATTCATGTTGCAATGGTTGTAATTAAAAAAAAAAAAMCCCGAATTTAAGCACGCCTCATTCTTTACTATAATAGCAGATGTTCTTCTAAGCCTTTCCATCTAATGAGTTAAAACTTCCTCAATTAAAACCATTCGCAAGACCCCCATTTCATGCCAGCATGCATATATGGGTGTGTTTTCCTTCTCCAGAGTGAATTTTTTCAAAATGACTACCTCTTTCTCCTCCCCCTTTAAAAAAAAATCAAGAGTAATTTGAAATGGCTGGAGACGTTATTTTAGAAGCTGATTTTAGATGCATTCTTTCAGAAGCGGTCTTGTAGGTTGACCAAATATTGTAACAGAAAACACGTTAAATATTTTAGTATCATTTATGGTAGTGATAAAAATGTGATGAGAGACAGGTTGTGTAAGAATACATTTTGTTGAGCCTTACAAGTATGCAGCATCAAAACAATTTGGTCATGTTTTCTAAAATAGTTACTTTCACTTACCATTGAACTAAATTTGTTAAATTCTAACAGAATTGTACATGGTGAATTAAGTGTGTTGGCAATAATTTTAACTTATTCCAGTTAATTGTTTAAAAGTATAAGGTTTACATGGTATCCATTGTGCAGTCCAGTTTCTGTAGGGCACAAGTCATTGCAAATCCTGTTCTTGTTTTACTTGGCAAAAAGTTATCTTTTGGGGAAAATAATCTATTTTTAATATCCTGGTTAAAGAAAGAGCAAAGGATAATAAACTTGTAGGAGACCCTGACACTTTGTTCAGCAAAACATGAACAGTGTTTTATTTTGAAAGATCACTTTAATTTCATTGTACACATATATTTGCTTGTATAAAAATAGCTGTATCTTGGTTTGCTGTGGCTGCTATAACAAAACACCATGATGGGGTGGCTTAATCCACAAAAATTAATTTTCTTATAGTTCTGGAGCCTGCAAGTCCAAGATCAGTATTCTGGTGAGGACTTTCTTGGCTTGCAGATGCTGGCTCTCTTTATTACTATGATGATGATGATTATGATTTTTATTTAGCTTTTATTTTGTGATCCTCTTRCCTCAGCCTTGAGAGAAGCTGGGATTCCAGCCATGTGCCACTGCATCTGGTTTAGCTGGCTGTCTTCTGAGTGGCAGGGACAGGGCAAACTCTCATAAGGTCACTAACCTGATTATGAAGGTACTATCTCCTGACCTCATCTAAACCTTACTATTTCTTTTAAGGCCTTATCTTCAAAACCCATCTCATTGGAAGTTAGGGCTTTAGTATGTGAATTTTTGAGTGGATGGTGGGAGGGACAAAATGTGTTCATAGCAAGCTATTACACAATATGTTGGTGTTTGTTTTGTTCTTTAATCACTTAAAAGAGTATAATATGCATGTTAACAAACTAAAAGTTTTGTTGATTTTTTTTTTTTTTTTTTTGGTGATTCTGGGGATTGAACCCAGGAGTGCTTTACCACTGAGCCACACGCCAGCCCTGTTTATTTTCAACTTTGAGATAGGGTCTCACTAAATTTCAACTCTCTACCTTAGTCTCCTGAGTTGCTGGGATTACACACCCGGTGAAAAAGAAGCATATACTTTTAAATAAGCAGAAGATAAGTTTAAATTATTTTTACTAAAAGAAAAATCACTTTTTAAGAATCACCAAGCTCATTGTTATGGTGCATGCCTGTAATTGCAGCAACTTGGGAGGCTGAGGCAGGAAGATTGTAAGTTGAGGTCAGCCTCAGCAACTTAATGAGATCCTGTCTCAAAATTTAAAAATTTTAAAAAGCCTGGGAATGTAGCTCAGTGGTAAGGTGCCCCTGGGTCAATACTCAATATCCCCCACCAATTTATAGTATAAGCTTCTTTAGTTATAAATTGGAAAAAAATTGCAATCAAGAAAGCAATTTTCTAAACAACATTAGAATAATGCTATTACTTTTATAAATTTAAGTTACCTAGTGAACATTAACTTTGAATTTAGTTTTTAAACATAAATGTAAAATATTTAAGTCTGAGATTTCTCTACTTGACTAATTTTGCATATCCTGTGTTCAAGTTTAAAAAAACAGATACAGAGAAGCAAACAGGAAAGAGCAAGATTTTCAGCTGCTCTATAACATCTCTTTCATTGGCCTCTCAAAAATAATAGTTCTAAGACATCTAAATCAGAGTGCTCTTCATTTTCAGTGGAGTTTCACATCCACTGACCACTCAAAATTACTAAGCCATTTTGTGTGTAGTAATTTTCAAGATTCTTGCCAGTTTTCTGGTGTCTTTTATGTACTTTTTTACCTTCGTTTTTGTAAAATAGATGTGTCAGCTCTACATAACTTTGGTTCTTTTAGCAGTAAAGAATATACAGTTTAGTTGGATGTGGTGGCTCATGTCTATAATTCCAACTACTAGAGAAGCTGAGGCAGGAGGACTGCCAAGTTCCAGTTCAGCCTGGACAATTTAGCCAGACCATGTCTCAAAATAAAAAATATAGAAAGGACTGGGGATGTAGGTTAGTGGTAAAGTGTCCCTGAGTTCAATCCCAGGTATTTCAAGAAAAAATAATTGTAGTAGTTTACCTTCATTTGTAGGGGAATATATTCCAAGATTACCTAGCATATGCCTGAAACCTCAGATAGTAAGAAACTCTGAATGCAATATTTTTTCCTATACATACAAACATACCTCTGCTAAAACAATTTATAAATTATGCATAGTAAGAAATCAATAAGAAATAATAAAATACAGTCATAACAAATATATTGTAAAAATTATGTGAATGTAGTTTATCTGGATCTCAGGATAGTTTACTGTACTGTGTTCACCTGCCCCCCCCCCTTTTTTTACTTTAGGTAATTAAAAAACTTCAGAAAGTGAAACTGGATAAGGTGGAACTACTGTAAATGAGTTCTCTGTAATATGGTTATTTTAGAGCTTTTGAAATATCAGTAAAGCAATGTAGGACCAGGATCTTTTTTTTTTTTTTCAGTACTTAAAAAAACTTTTTTACTTTAAAAAGAAAATACAAAAAATAAATGTACTTTTGAAGAAATGAGTTGATAAATAATAAATCATCAGTAAACAATATTTTTGTTTTTTTTAAATTTTAAAATTGTGAAAGTATAGCATTAGATTTTTTATTACAATTGTCTTCAGTATTATCAACTGAAATTTAAGGGAAGTTTTGGATATTTGCATAAGATCCAAATTATTTTAGTTAATATAATGAGATTAGTATTGCTTAAGTTACCTAACCTATTTTATAGTTGTTTTTTTTTGTTGTTGTTTGTTTTTTTTTTTTTAAACAGAATCTAGGGTGTGGTGATGATTGGTGGTTTTGTTTCTATGGCAGTAGTTGAGAGGGACTTTCCATTTTAAACAGGACTTTAGAGTAAATTAGCTGATACACACAAAGATTTCTTGATCAGAACTCATTAAGAGATGAAGATCAAATTATTAATTGAGTTAGTATGTGTGCATCTGGATCCCAAAGCCCTATGTGTAGTTCTCATCTAACTGCTGCACTCTCCTAATTCTGGATATAACATAGGTTGATATGATTTTCTTTTGTATGACAGACACCTAAATTTATTGGATTCTCGTAGCTGGAAGAAAATGCTTGCTGATTAGGATTAGCAAAGGAGCTGTTGATGTTGAGTAAGAACATCATGCTTCTGTGTTTTTTGGATAGTATTAAATAGTTTACATTATTGTGGAGGCCCTTGTGATATGTTTAGGTATAAAGGAAATAAGTACCTTATTATTATTATCATCTTATTATTCAGAGAAACCAAACAATGTGAATTTTAAAAATGATAATCAATTTTGGCAGATTTTACACTATTAAAAATGTAACATTACATTTTTCATCAAGGTTTGAAGGAATCTCATTACAATCTTAATAAAATAAGCTTGTTAGACATATCTTTTTATAGGATCATTGTTATATGTCTTAAATGCAAATTAGAGATCCTTTGTTGGGTATTTTTATGCAAAGAAAAAGAACTCTTCTGCCAAAGTTTCAATTTAGCTTAATTAGATGGAATATATTCTAGAATCTGAGACATTTTGTACATATATGGATAAAAAGCTTTATAATTATAACTTAAGCAGAGCAACTGGCAAATGGAATTTATCTTACCCAGAGAATTTCAGTTTTTTGGCTATAATTACTCAGAGAGTACTTTTTTGTTAAGATTAGTTTCTGACTTTTGGTGAAATTGTGATTCCAAGGATTATTAACTAAATATTAATGAAATGCTTATGGTGGGGAAACTAAAAAAATTTAAATGATTTTTAATAATGTATCTATTGAAATATTTATTAGGTATGAAATTGAGAAAGGAATCATAAGTATTTTGCAGATTTGGCAACAGAAGCCTATAAAAGAACTAAAGTGTTTACTCTAAGATTGTTCCTGGAGTTGAGACTTCAAGATCTTAGATCTCAACTCCTATGTTCTATTTTAATTATATTATATTCCCCCCCATCCCTCCTCTCCTCCAAAAAAACAAAAAAAAAAAACAAAAAAAACAAACCTGGATAAAATGTTAAAGTCCCCTCTCTTGTTAGAACCCTGAGGTATTTTTGGTTTTTCCCACTGTGGTCAGTTTGGTCCTAAGTCTTGTTTTTCCTGGTTTTGAAACATCTGGTAAATCTACCTCTTCTCCATTTTCTTTTTTTTTTTTTCAATTTAAATATCACTTTTTATTTTCTAATTTTGAGAATATTAATAAATACATTAGAGCAGTAGTACATGCTTACAATTTAGAAATAAATATTGCATAATGAGAGTTACAGGCTCAGATGTTCTTTCTGACATCTTTTTTTTAGAACTAATTTATGTACCATGATTCTACTATCTGCTTCTATGGATTTACCTATTCCAGACTTTTTACATAAATCTTTCACATAAATGGAATCTCTCTCACTCTTTTTGGCTCTGTCTTCTTTCACTTTAACAAGTTTTCCGAGGTTCATCCATGATATGCCATGTCTTACTACTTCATTCCTTTCTTTCTTTCTTTTTTTTTTTTATTGTTGGTTGTTCAAAACATTACATAGTTCTTGATATATCATATTTCACACTTTGATTCAAGCGGGTTATGAACTCCCATTTTACCCCTTATACAGCTTGCAGAATCTCATCAGTTACACTTCCATTGATTTACATATTGATATACTCATGTCTGTTGTATTCTGCTGCCTTTCCTATCCTCCACTATCCCCCCTCCCCTCCCCTCCCCTCTTCTCTCTCTACCCCCACTACTGTAGTTCATTCCTCCCCCTTGTATTATTTTTCCCTTCCTCTTCTCCATTTTTATTCTCACTATTCCAGTTGAGCCTTCATAATCTTATACTGGGATTACAGTTTGTTCTGTAGCATAAACTGCTATCAATTAACATTTTAGGAAATGATACTTTTTCCTATGTACCTCCCCTGGTTTTGACCCTGAAAAGATTTTCTCTTGATTACTCATATCCGCACATATTTGTCATGCGTTTACTGTTATGGTATTAGTATAGTATGGAGTTTATAGAAAGCACTAGGAGAATGTGAATATGTATATAATTTGTTGTAAGGAGGTAAGGTTTAAATAAATCAGATTGCCACTTATCATTCATTTGTGGAGAAAATATGCACTGAAAATCTAATAGAAAAAGTAATGTATTTTTCTTTTTTTTCCCACAGGTTCCTGTTGCATGTAAATCATGTCCCTGTGGTTACATATTTATTAGCAGAAAACTTTTAAATGCAAAACACTCAGAGAAATCACCATCTTCTACAGGTAATAGAGTTTAATATTTAAATATTAGCTATTAGAGGGATGTAACTCAGTGGTAGAGTGCCTTAGCATGCTTGAGGCTTTGGGTTTGATGCCAGTGCGTGCACAAAAAGAGTTATTAGAAATTGGCCTATGATTGGTTCATTTCATTTAAATGGTTAACTACCTTGCTGATAAAGTTTATAAAATAATATTTATTTTAAATTTTATTTTTTTTTGAGAAGCTAAGCAGTAATTGATATTGAGTAATTATACATATCCTAGTTCCCTCTGAAATTCCACCTTCCTGCTTCCCCCATCCCAAGTAACCACTGCTGCTTTCTACCTCTGTTCATCTAAATGGAATCATATAGTATGTATGATACTCTTAACCTGGTTTCTTTTACTGATCACAATTATTTAAGATTCAACCCAAGTTTTATGTATTAATAAGGTTTAATTTCTTTTTATTACTTAGTAATAATATTTGTATAGATATGCCACAATTTGTTTATCTACTCATCTGTTGGGTTTTTTCCTCCAAAAGCTCTTATAAAATTTGCAACATTTCTAAAGTGTTTTTTGGTGGTGGTTGGTGTTGTTTTTTTTTTTAATCTAGTCACTGAAAAAAATACATCTTGGTTTTGTGTGAATATATTTTTTATTGTTTATTCATAATTCTCTGAGACTGTCTAATCTTATTTGAATTTATTACTTTTCTGTTAATATAGACAAATGGGTTTGTTCAGTAAAAGACAAAATTTTGTTAAGCATTCTTTGATGAAATCATAGCCTCATACACTGGTATCAAAATAAGATTAGACTGATGACAAAGACACAGTGAGTACCTACATGCTGGGTGCTGTTCTAAACCTTGGTTATAAATTTGTGAATTTACTCTAAATGCTGGTTCACTGCTATTATAGAGTTTATATTCTCGTCAGAGGAAGATAGTGAACAGAGATAAATGGGCAATATTACCTTGTGATAAATGCTTTGTAGAAAATTAAGGTACCATACTAGCATGTGACTAGAAGGCTACTTTTGACTGGATGGCATCTCTGAGGAGGTGATATTTAATTGAGCTTGACTGGGAAGATGGGGTGGGCCATGATGAGGTCAGGGAGAGGAACATTCCTGACAGATGGAAATAGCAAATGCAAAATTCCAAGGCTGGATAAAGTTTTTAAATTTTAGAAACAAAAATGCCCACTGTGGTTACATCCTAGACAGTAAGATAAGAAGACTGAGAGTCCAGAGGGATAGGCAGGCCATATTATGTAGAGTTTTGTAAACCAGAGTAACAAATTTGAATTTTGTTTTTAAAAGGTTGGGAGAAGCTATCCCTGGATTTTAATTTATAATTAAATTTCTTAAAAGTAAGATTTACTTTGGGCAGCTAAGATTGTGGCTCAGGTGGTAGAGTGGTCACCTAGCTCACATGAAGCACTGAGTTCGATCCTCAGCACCACATAAAAATAAAGATATTGTATCCACCTAAAACTAAAAACTTAAAAAAAAAAAGATTTACTTCAGATAATTTGTAGTATATAGGAGAAATTTAAAAGTATTTTTAAAAATTAATTTGTAATACTGGGAATTGAACCCAGATCCTTAAGCATGCTAAGCATGTACTTTACCACTGGGCTAAGTCCCCAGTCCTAAAAAGTAGAATTTCAAAAAAAATTTAACAGCAGTGTGTGTAATGTATAATGACTCAATCTGAGTTATTAACATTTCTGTCTCTTCTAGCATTTTCATTTCTCTGTTTTGGGAATCTTTGGACCCTTCTAATTATTTTGAAATATATCATAAATTTTTGTATAGTTTCCCTACTATGCTATAGAATACTAGAATTAATTCCTCCTGTGTAACACTGTACTTTGGTACCCTTTATCCAACCTTCTGTCTACCCTCCTCCTGCTTTACCCTTCTTAGTCTCTAGTGACCGGTGTTCTATAACTCTTGAGATACTAACTTTTTTAGCTTTCACATGAGTGATGAAAATATGCAATACTGTCTTTTATGTGTCCAGTTTATTTCACTTAACATGATGCCCTCTAATTGTATATATATTGACACAAATGACTTTCTTTTTTGTGGAGGAATACTAGGGATTGAACTCAGTGGCACTCAACCACTGAGCCACATCCCTAGCCCTGTTTTGTATTTTATTCAGAGACAGGGTCTCACTGAGTGGCTTAGTGCCTCACATTTGCTGAGGCTTGCTTTGAACTTGCAATCCTTCTCCCTTGGACTTCCAAGCTGCTGGGATTACAGTTGTGTGCCACCTCACCTGGCCATGACTTTCTTTTTATGGCTGAATAATATTCCATTTTATGTATACCACATTTGCTCTACCTTTTTGTACACTGATGGACGCTTAGGTTGATTTTCAAGATACGGATTTCACTATTGTGAATTGTGCTGCAATAAATATGGGAGTGCAGATGTCTCTTTGATACATTTGATTTTATTTTCTATGGATATATACCCAGTAGTAGGGTTGCTGGATCATGTATGATAGTTCTAGTTTTAGTTTCTTGAAGACCTCCGAAGTGTTTTCCATAGTGGCTATACTAATTTACATTTCCACCAACAGGATTTAACAGTTTTCTTCCTCTACATCCATACTAACATTTCTTAATTTTTTTGTGGTTTTGATAATAGCCTTTCTAGCATGGGTAAAATGATATCTCATTGTAGTTTTAATTTGCATTTACTTGATGATTTTGATATTAAGCGTTTCATCTACTTATTGGCCACTTGTATATCTTCTTTAGTGGAATGCCTATTTAGATTTTTTTTGCCCTCTCCTTTTTTTTTTTTTTTGGTACCAGGAATTGAACCCAAGGGACTTAACCTCTGAGTCGCATCCCCAGACCCGTTTTTTATTTTGAGATAGGGTCTCATTAAGTTTCTTACCATCTTGCTGAATGGTTGAGCTGGCCTTGAACTTGTGATCTTCCTGCCTCAGCCTCCTGAACTGCTGGGATTACAGGCATGTGCCACCACACCTGGTTCTTCACCCATTTTAAAAATCAGATTGTTTTCTAGCTGTTGAATTGCGTTTCTTAAATATTTTGGATATCAATCCCTGTTGGTTAAGTAACTTCAAAGTATTTTATTACATTCTTCAGGTTGTCTCTTCATTCTGTTGATTTTTTTTTCCTTGTACAGCAGAAGCATCTTAGTTTGATATAATTCCACTTGTCCATTTTGATTTTTATTACCTATGTTTCTGGGATCTTATCTACTCCCCCCCCCCMAAAAAAAAATCATTGTCTGTACCAATGTCTAAAAGTGTTTCCTCTCTTTTCTAGTAGTTTTTTAGTTTCAGGTCTTAGGTCTTTGATCCATTTTGAGTTGATTTTTATATATGGAGAGAGTTAGGGATCCAGTTTAATTCTCTTGCACATACATATACAGTTTTCCCAGTACAATTTATAAAGAGATTAACCTTCCTACAATGTACTTGGCAACCTTTGTTGAAAAATCAGGTGACTCTGTGTATATGGATTAATTTCTGGGTTTTCTGTTGTTTCATTGATCTCTGTGTTAGTTTTATACTGGTACCACACTGTTTGGTTACTGTAGCTTTGTAGTATGTTTTGAAGTCAGCTATGGTAATGCCTCCACCCAGCTCTGTTCCTTTTGCTCAGAATTGCTTTGGCTATTCAGGGTTTTTTGTGTTTCCATATGAATTTTATGATATTTTCCCCTCTATTTTGGTGAAGATTGTCATTGGCATTTTTTTAAAATATTTTATTTTTTTAGTTGTAGATGGACACAATATCTTTATTCTTACTTATTTATTTTTGTATGTGGTGCTGAGGATGGAACCCAGTGTCTTACGCATTTGAGGCAAGCACTCAGCCAATGAGCTACAACCCCAGCCCCTGTCACTAGCATTTTTTAAAACAATATTTTTAGTTTTAGATGGACACAATACCTTTATTTTGTTGATTTAGTTTTTTTTACGTGGTGCTGGGGATCGAACCCAGTGCCTCACGTGTGCTACGCAAGTGCACTGAGCCACAACCCCACAATACAATGGGGGTTGCATTGAATCTGTAGATCACTTTTGATATGGATATTTTAAAACAAGTAAATAAAATAAAGGCTTTGTGTCCAACTACATCCCCCCCAAAAAATATTAATTCTTCTAATCTGTGAACACAAGGGATATCTTTTCATTCTTCATTTCATATCTTAATTTTCTTTCATCAGTGTTTTGTAATTTTCCCTGTAGAGCTCTTTTTCTTTCTTGGCTAAATTTAATTCCTAGGATGTTTTGTTTTGCATTTTTGGTAGCTAGTATGAATGGGGTTGTTTTCTTAATTTCTTTTTCATCAAGTATGCTATAAGTATATAAAATGCTACTGTTTTTTGTTTGTTGATTTTGTATCCTGCAATTTTACTGAATTTGTTATCAGTTTTATAGTGGAGTCTAGGTTTTTCTCCATATTAAATGTTACTACCTGCTAACAGGGATAATTTGACTTCCTCCTTTCTGATATGGATGCTCTTTACTTCTTTTTCATGCCTAATTGCTCTTTCTAAGAAGAGTGTTTCTGGATATTCTTGTTTTGTTCCAGACCTTAGAGGAAACAGTTTTAGTTTTTTACCATTCTTTATGATGTTGGCCATAAGTTTGTCATAGGTAGCCTTTATTGTGTTGATGTATGTACCTTCTACACCTAATTTTTGAGAATTCTTTTTTCCATCATGAAGGAATCTTGAGTGAGAATAGTGTAATTTTTAAGTCACTACAGTTTATCAAGTGCTTAATGAATGTTATAAATTGGATCTAGACCACTACAAGGAAAATCAATTGCTAATATCTGAAAGATAATCTACTTCATTAATAATAGTGTGGTTGARATGAAATACCTGTTTTTTGACCACAGTCTGACAGAAATGTAAAGAACTTTGTCTTTATGAACATGGCAAACCTAGGTACTTTCATTATTAATAGGAGCATAACTTGGCAAAACTTCTTTAGAGAGCAATTTGGGAGGTGG